TGAATCGTTTTTATTGGTTTCATCGGTTTTTTACGGTGAAGACTAGCTTGCATAAATAGCATCAAGAGCATTACTTATATTTAAAAAGGTAATTAATCTTTTTGTTATGTTATAAAATTATATCCCTCCTAACGGATTACATATTAATCCTATAACTGTGTATTATTTTAATGCTAATCCTATGGACATTAGTAATTAAGTCATTATTAGAAAATTAATTTCTGTGCCGAATAAAAAAGTTGTTATATTTAGCTATGACTTCAATCTTTACTAATAATAAACATGTTATAAGTAATCAAAACCCGATTAAATACCATTAAACTGTTGTATAATTCAATACATTGGCGAACGACGGCATTAATTGATGAATGTCTGCCTGAATTACCTATATTTAGTTGAGGGCACAGACTTAGTAAGTCTAATAATATGGTGTTTATTAAACACGTATCAATTTTATTGTGTTTTAACCCATTTTTTGATAAGAACTTATAGGAAAGGAAACAAGTGTTACATGTGTTCATTTCATCCCAGACTTTGTATGCTATCAATAAATATATAGATTTTATACAAATCTTAAATTATTTTAATCTGTTGTATAGTAACAAAACTAATGATTTTAAAGCAACAAAAATAACAACATATTGATTATAAATGGTAAAAATCATATTTGAAAAGCGGTAAAACTTGTAATAATTATAGATTTACTCATTTAAAAGTCACTCAATAGAAATTTACTTTTTTTGTTGTGTAAAAATTTACGTAAATTTGGTTTTTTAGTGCAAAACATAATAAGTTTTCCCCTCATTTCCCAAATAGATTCCTTTATTGAGTGCATATTTCAATGATATCACAATAAGTTTATCTAATAAAATCAACCTGGATGTTTGTAATCCATTGATTAATCGCGGCGAAACATCATTTTCATTTAAAAAGGTAAGTTGTCATTTTGTCAATGCAATAAAATTAATGATCATTATTATGATTATTAAATAATTTTAGTCACAAATGCAATAAAATTTATGATCTCTACTATCATTTGAAAATCTAAATAATGATAATATAATCAATTATTGGAATCAAAATTAAATCGTGTAAAACAAAAAAAATTAATGATTTATTTTATTTTGAATAAAACGATCATAACGATAATTTATTTCAATGCCCGACCAGACAATAGTAACTTAAATTATCTTTATAATTTGTTGGATAATTTAAATTTATGATAATTTTATGAATAATGTAATTTTGTACTTACGTACTTGTTAAAGTATGAGTAGTCACACTTGAAGACTATATGAGACTAAATATAAATAAAACATGGAAATTTTATTTTCCAGACATTAGCTGTCATTATTGGGCAAATGTCTGTTCATTTTGAAGGACTTTACAATACAATTGGATTATATAAATATCGTATTAATTATCGGAATTAATACTTTAGAAAACTGTATATTAAATGAGTTTTAACGAAAAATATACTCAATTTCTAACGAATTAATAGAGTTTTAAATCCAATGCTAAGAAATGAGTGAAAACTCTTGTGAAGCCAACAGTTTCTGTGTTGAAGTCAACGGTTGGACCGTTTGGTGCGAAAAGTTTGGTTCGGGACCCAAACCAATACTTTTAATACCCGGAGCCATTGGTATTAGTTATTGAGACAATACTAATATAAATAATGCTTATTATTTAAATGTTTACAAAATTAGGGACCGGGAGGTCTGACTATGAAGAACAGTTAGAAGGTGCCGATGAACTTGATTATGATAAGTTTACATTGATTGCTGTGGAGCTGCCCGGTTGGGGCCGATCCAGACCTCCCGTTAGAAAGTACGGCACCGGTGTCTATGATAATGATGCTGAATGTCTTCATAAACTTATGCAGGTTTGAGTTAAATATAACTTTTTTATTTTATAATTTTTTTAAATAATTTGTTTAGGAATTGAATTATAATAAGTATTCAATAATCGGTTGGTCTGACGGCGCGAATGTAGCGCTTCGTATGGCAACTAAATATCGACAATCCGTTGAGTCCTTAATATTGGTCTCCGTTTATACTTATGTAACAAATGATAGTCTGAAAGCATTGACTTCATCTCAAAGTGTCGACAATTGGAGTAAACAAAAACTCAATTCTTATCTCCAAAGCTATGATAATAAGGACGTAATCCAACAGTTGTGGACTAAATACGTGAGATTTATTGAATACTACAACCAATACTTTCCCGAAAATAAAAACAATTATCAATCGATTAAATGTAAAACACTTCTCATTC